CCAGGGCTCCTGAGCCAGGAGCCGCTGGACCAGCAGACTTCAGAGCTTCCACCAGGCAGCAAGAAGGTGCCAGGAAACTGGTTAAATGAGACCCGTTTGAGAGCCCACCTTCCCTCCTCCCAGAGGCAGGCCCTGCTCAGGAGGGAATTAGGGCTTGATTCTTAAGGTTCAAAAAATAGCTTTGATAAGAAAGGACAAGGTTGCTGTGAGACAGTAGAGCAGAGGGGGACATGTGTGGTCTGCGTTCAAATACTAACTCTGCCCTCCAGTGATGATCTTGCCAAGTAACAGTCTCTCTGAGCGCCACTTGCCCACCTATAAGATGAGGATAACAATTCCCTAGAGGACGTTGCACCGTATTATAGCAGCGCAGTTAGAGCCAGACACGCTTGGTTCTTCCCCCTTAGTTATACAGCCTTGGGTAGGCTACATTGCCTCTTCGAACCTCAGTTTTGCCACCTGTTTAATGGGGATAATGAAAGTACCTAAGTGTTGTTATGAGATTCAAATCATGTATGTCAAAGTGTCTTAAACAGAACTACTGATAAAACAGAAGGTGGTATTTTCCACAGCCAAAGAGAACAGGCCACACCTTTGGAGCCTCGGCCTGACCTCTGCTTCCTCCTTCGCTGGCCCAGCAGCATGTTTTGAAGAGTCTTTTCATCTCACGCCCCAATCCCAGGCATCAAGGCCCCAGCGGGGAAGGAGGGAGTCAAGGGGCAGCTGTGCTCTCAGGACACTGAGCTCTGGGCAGTGGGGTGCCTCTGCTGTGAAAGGTCATTGCCCCATCACCAGTTTACAAAAGTTGGGGTCAACCTCCAGTTCCCTCAGAGTTTTAGAGCAGACTCTTCATCCCCCTATGGCCTCTTCCACACTTCCTTTTGAGACCTCAGTTTCATTTTTCAAAATGCCAGTCACATTTGGTGCCACCACCCTCAGGGTTATTTCACCTAGAGGCCTCAGATCACAGCTGGGAGCTCAGTCAGCGGTTCGTAAAGCCCTCTAAACATATCCCAATTTTAGCCTAAGAGGTCCTTATTACACACCGCCATCTTTACGTCACCCAAACATGATGCAGACCCCACGTGGTTGAATCTCTTCACAGGGCTCCATTTTTAAAATACACAGTTCAGGGCTTCCCTGGTGGCGCAGTGGTTAAGAATCCGTCTGCCACTGCAGGGGATACGGGTTCGAGCCCTGGTCCAGGAAGGTCCCACATGCCGCGGAGCAACTAAGCCCGTGAGCCACAACTACTGAGCCCGTGTGCCACAACTACTGAAGCCCACGCGCCTAGAGCCCGTGCTCCGCAACAAGAGGAGCGACCGCAATGAGAAGCCGGCGCACCACAATGAAGATTAGCCCCCGCTCGCCGCAACTAGAGAGAGCCCTTGTGCAGCAACAAAGACCCAACGCAGCCGAAAATAAATTAATTAATTTAAAAAAATAAAAACAAATAAATAAATAAAAGACACAGTTCAGCAACCAAAAATCATCCCTAAATAATTTCCATCATTATTTGCCTCTCTCAAGGAATATCAGTGGGGATCCTGCTGTCACCCTACAAGGATACTTGCTGTCTCCATTTGTCCCCTTTCCATTCTCACCCTCCAACTGGGTCGGAGCCTGTCCAAAGTCTCTGACTCCCAGCCTTGGCTTTCACTTCCTTCCTCCTCCATGTCCCGGCTCCTATCGTGTAGGTCCGATGAGCGTTGCCCATTACCCTGCTTCTCCACAGTGAAGGAGAAGCCAGGAGCCAACCGAGAAAGCACAGATGCTCCCCTTTCCTTCCAGCTCTCCAGCCCTGCCTCCCCCAACCCCCTAGGGCTGCATCACACCAAGCCTTAAGTGAAATCAGAGCTAGAACTCAGGGAAGGTGCAGCATGTGGTTGACCAAGCACAGACGAAATTCTTGGTACAGAGTGTGGGGAAGAGTGGGGTGCTCGTGTGTTGGTAACTCTCACCCCATCACACTGAGCTCCTTTCTCCTAATTTCCCAACCCCTGTGACTAGAATCGGCAACAATTACCTCTCCTTTCTGAGTAGCCTAGTTAGGAATTCAGAGCCGTCTTCTCCCGACCTGGTGAAGGGCGGTTCATTTTACAAGGTGTCCTATCTCACCCGTATTTGGGGAAAACATCAAGATGTGCAGTTTCCAGCGTCTCAGTATTGGATTTTTAGGGGCTGTTGGACTGAAGAGGAGCACTTATAGTCTCAGTCCTGCCTGGACTTCCATATTATAGAGACTGCTTCCTGCTGGTGGAATCAACAAGCAGTTTTAAAAAAAACCCCAAATCCAGCCACCTTCCAAACACCTCTAGCCTTGGATTCCATATCCTTCTTACAAGAGCTGGGGGAGAGCCTGGGTGTGACCAGAAGACTCAGACCCAGGTCCCGGGTATCCCACTGCAGCCCCAAACCACCCAGCTGGCAGGATGGAGATGGGCGAGCCATTTGGGGACAGCTCTGTGGGATTCCGGCGCTGGGGGAAGGAGGAGGAGGGTCCTGCTTTCCACAGCCAGGCCTGGGCAAGCAGAGCCACTTCTGCCCCAAGCAAATCAATTGAAAGCCTTGGCCAAGCCTGTTTGAGTTGGTGAGAGCCCAAGTGGGAATTCCAATCTGCCAGTGTTTGCTCTGCAGGCAAAGAGAGCCAAACAGAAATGCTGCTCTGGGACTTTACACCAAATATCCAGTGGCTTGTTCTGCCAGCAGTGCTGAGCCAGCCCTCTGCACATCACCCTCTCCCAGCTCCCTGCTCTGTGAAAGCCTTCTGCTTGTGCCCTTAAAGGAAGCTTGCCCTCCCACACCACAGCCCCACAGCCCGTGCCTGGGCTTCCCTGCTGGGACCAGGCCCTGCAGGTGCAACTGGCCATCCCATACCAGCTCCACCTGGACACGCATTCCCCCCCACCCACCCCCAGGCCCCTGATCTCTGCTTCCTGCTCTCAGCTCCATGCTTTCACCACTCCCACCCCCAACCCCAGCCACCTCATCATTGGCCCCGTCCCTCTCAGCCCCTGATCAGGACAGCCCACGGCAGCTGGCCTCACAGCAGAGGCAGAGCTGACAGCCAGGAAGCACAAACCATCGTTGACTGTGTCTCTTTTTTTTTTTTTTACACTGTCACATGTATTTTATTTGATCTTTATAGCTGAACAGTTTTATCAGCCCATTTCTCAGACGAAATAGCTGAGGTTTCAAAAGACCAGACACCATGCCCGAGGTCACCTTATTAAGGAATCCAAGTCTCCTGACTCTAAAACCATGGTACTCACTAACTTGCCTCCCTGCAGAAGTTTTTAAATCTTTTGTTCACTCCCAGAGGCCTAGGGCAATTCCCACGATTCCTAGTGACAGCAGGCGGAGGTGTTTCCGCATTCCCCCATGCAACGCTGGCACATCCAGTGTGGGCAGGTGGCAACGTCTGCTTTATCCCAGCCCTGAATCGGAGCCACTGCCTGAGGCCTGCATCCTGGGCTGACTGGGATGCACCCACCAGAGCCCCCCGGAAGCCCCCAGCCAAGAGTCGCCCCCTTCACAGTTAGGTACTGGGTGCACACCCCGCTTACTTCAGGGCCACCCCCCAGGACAGTGGCACGAAGTTCTCTCCACCCGAGGAAGGAGCGAGGCCGACGCCCTGCCCTCACAGGGCTCCCCCACTGCACGGCGATGGGTCTCATGCTCCAGAGCGATCCTTCTTGGCACCATTTCGCACAGTTCTCAGTTTGGTCCTGAGTGCGATCATTTGCAAATGGAAATGATCTGAGTATCTTAGAAGACACATGCTCTCTGCATCCAAACAATTATTGTCACTTCCTCAGGGAAATTTTCTCTTATCCGTTCTGGCCGGATGACTGTCTCCCCTAGATAACCGTGGGCACCAAGAAGGCCAGGACGAGACTGTGGCTTTCTCGTCACAGAACCCCCAGCACCCTGCACAGCTCAGGAAATAGTAGTCGGGTGAATGAAACCACGAGTAAAGGCTTCCACTAGCCCTTGTCCTCTGGCTTCAGGGGTGCCGTCATCCAGGCCTGGAGCCCACGGGCCCCCACGGGACCCTTGTCCAGCCATTCTCAATTCTACGTGTTTTCTACTGACCTGACTCCCCAGGGTGGGCCTGGGCACCCAGCTACAGATGCTGGCTTCCCACCCACAGCTCAACCCAGATCTCACTTCTCCTCTAAGAATAGGGCACCGCCAAGGTAACAGGCCTCAAGAACACTCCCCAGAAATGGGAGCAGAGGGGGCACTGCCGGGCCTCTGGTCTGGCCAGTCGGGAGCAAGGGGTGCCAGCCACCCTGCCCCACCTGGGCCTTCAGATGGCTCCATGATGGCTGGACCGGGGTGGTGCCAGGACCTTGCCAACTGTGGCAGTCATTTGGCCAGGGATGACACAGAAAATGCCACCTTTCGAGTAAAGAGTTCTAACTAACTTAAGGTGAGGGAGCAGCCCAAAGCGCCCGATGCTGCCACTCCTCTGGCCCCTGCATGAGGTGCCCCCCTGAGCTGCACGCCACACAACAGTATCCTTCCAGTCACAGCTGCACCCCTGGGGCACCACCATCACTGTGAGCCTGGGAGAAGCAGAGTAGAACTCCAAAGAGGGGCCTCCAGGGCTCTGGGTACACAGAGAGAGCGGTAGCTCTGCCAGGTGTGGGCGCACACACAAAGATGGGTGCAGCAGAGCTTCCAGGATCAGTAGGGCCACACCAGCTCAAAGGAGCCACGCACTCTTATGGGGCGGCTAGAAGCCCTTCTCGGTCTGGGGTCCTCAGGTGGCTTTCCCAGGAACCCGGTGGGTCCTTGATGCTGGGGTCAAAGGAGGAGAGAGCCAGTGTGGACCCCAGGTGTGCCTTCTGGTCAGGGTGGGCCTTGAGGCTCCCTCTCCCCACTCCCTACTCCCAAGGTCTGGCTGTGTCACGTGAGGGAGGAATCAGACTTCGTGGGCATCACTCAGGCCCAATTCCCAAAGGTGGAGAAATGCCATGATCAAAGCAACCGTGAAGAGGCCGACTCAGAAAACCCGTGTTTAGTTGGCGGGACAGGGTGTCGCAGCCTGCGAGGCCCTCGGTGCCTGGGTGTCCACATCCATTACTTCTCCTCGACCTTCTCCAAGGACTGGGGCTGCTTCTTCTGGGGCAAGTCTTCAAGCATCAGGCTCAGCACGTGCACGGTCTCGTAATACAGCTCCCGAAGCCTGGAAGTGGAGGAGGAGGGCAGGCCGGAGCTGGCGAGCGGGCTCCACGCCGCCCTGGCCCTGCCCGCGGCACTCTCGCACCCGCACATTCACCACTCCTGGTAGGTGTGGGGTCAGGGAAGAGCAAGGACTTCGGAGCCACATAGGGCTGGGCTGGGAGCCCGGCTGTGCCACTCTACCTGTGGCCCCAGGAGTAAAGTCATTTCGCCGCATGTGTCAGGTGGGAGGCAACAGACTCCTGGGCTCGGAGCGAGGTGAGCCCGTGGAGGTGCCCAGACGCTGCCTGGTCCACGCCTGGGCCAACACTGGCCATTCCTAGATCCCCTCCTTTTAGTTCCTCCAGTCTGCAAAGCCCTCAAGGAAGCTTTTGTTGAGAAACCAGGCTAATCGTGCACCTCCCCTTCCTGCAAGTAACGGCCAGAAGGACCCCAGCTAACTCACACTGAGCACAGCCCTGGGCCAGGCCAAGCTCAGAGCTTCACACACATTGCTTCCATAGTCAGCCCCTCCTGTGCCGGGTGGGAAAGGGACAAAGACTTTGCCAGAGTCACACAGCACTAAGCCAGGGGCTTCAGCTTCTGACTTGCCAGCCAGCGGCGTTCTCTCGGCCCTCTGAAAAGTGCTTGGTGAGGAGGGTCTTGGAGAGTCAGAGGAGCCAGTATTTAAAAACAGGTCAGGGTGGGCTGGGGAGGCCAGTGGGCAGAGTCTCCCCCAGCCACAGGCCCGTCCGCACAGCAGCCCAGCCCCTGCACACCACCAGGAAGGGCCTCGCCCTACCCGCCCTGCACATCAGCCATTGCCCCCCTGGGCCTGGGGCCGGGTCAGCGGGGCTGGGACTGACCTGTAGATGGTAGCATCCTGGTTGTCCAGAGTGGACAAGTAGACATCAATGAAGGGTAGGCTAGTGCCAAAATCATCCAAGACCATGGGGTCAGTGTGCCGCAGGGTCTTCTTAAACTTCTCCACCAGCTCAGTGAAACTTTTGTGGTCAACATTCTTCTAGAGAGGGAAGCATAAAGAGAGCAAGGATGAGGAGGTAGTGACCGGGCTGCACAGTGACCTGGGGGCTCTCCACGTGGGGCCCAGGCAGAGGCCTGACCTTGGCCCCAGGATGAGTCCTGAGTCCAATCACAGTTCACCCCAACCCCTTCTGGGCCTGGACCCCCCTGACTGAGGTCACCTGGTGAGCCACCATCCCTGATGTGAGGACGGGTGACACGGGAAGGAATCGGTGAGAGCCTGAGCGCGGCTCAGCATTTCACCCTGTTCTGGACAAACCTTGGGCACACCGAGACAGGTGGGCGTCTCCACCTCAGAGACGAGGCTGAGGAGGGAGGCAACGGCCACTTGGCGGAGAAAGGGGCAGCATGCTGTTCACAACCCGAGCACCCCGGCAGCTCAGAGCACTTCGGCCGAAAAGAGAGGACTCTCCCCCAGCCCCTCACAGTTGTATCATGCTCGACAGAAAATCTCCAGCCCAGTGTGCTCACTCTTGTTCCAGTTTAGAAAAACTGAGATTAGTAACACCTGTCAGAGCCTCCGTGGCCTCGCCCACTCAGCGGACGGCGATCAAGCCTGCCTGGCACCCAGTGAGTCTTCAGGAACAAGAGTGCTCCAGGCAAAGGGCCCAGCAATGGAGTTTTGCCCATGAAGGAGGGAAATATTATGATCACAACATTCAGCACTTGAAGAGGTCCAGAGAAATACAAAAATGCAGAGAATAACATCTGACTCTGAAAAGTACGGCGTGGGGTGAGTAGCTGACTTACCAAATGCCACAAATGCCTAAGGCCACCCGCCCTCCACGCAGGCCCCAAGGCCCATCTTCCTGACCATTCCTTCAGCCCTGACCGTCCCTCTGTTTGTCCGCCGGCCTGTGGAGACCACTTACCTGTGTCTGCATCAGCTTGCTGACCTCCTCCTGCTGCCGCTTCAAAATCACACGCTTTTCTTCCATGAGTGTCATGTGTCTCTCTAGCATCAGCTCCCGCTCAAACTTTTTGACAGAGTCCTAGAGGGTGGGAGGATGGAGGTAAGATGTGGGCTCTCAGTGCGCACCACTCCCATCTTCCTTCCTCCCCAGACTCCCAGTGCTGCTCAGGTCCCTCAGCAGGAGGATCCCCTCACAGGCCAGCCCCCAGCTCAAGCCGCCAACTGTAGCTGCAGTGGCTTCCCAAGCACCTACCCTGCAGGCCACCATCATGAGGGAGGGAAAATGCAGGGCTCAGGGGAAAGAGGCAGGCTGGGGTAGAGCCTGGTCATCCCCCCGCCCCCACTTCGGGAGGGAGATAGTTCAGGGTCCTCCCTTGAGACTCGGCCCACCCACCTGCCACACTTACCACTCCCCCATCCTTACAAGCACCACCTCACCTCAGTGTGAATGATCATCACACCCACGAACATGCTAAGGAAGACGAAGGAGGCAAGCAAGATGAAGATGATGGTGAATGAACGGCTCAGAGTAAAATTCCGGGCATCCAGCTGCTGCTGCAGGTCTGTCCAGCCATCCACCTGCTCAGGCAAGGCAGGGTATGCTGAGCGCCTAGGCCCAGAGCGGCAGGCCTCCTCTCACCCACCGTGGGGAGCCCCAGCCCCACCGAGGAGCAGGCCGGCTTCCTTCCACATCAGCCCTGCGACAGCCCCTAATCCTCTGACTCCAGGGTATACATGCTGGCCTGGAGCTGCATGGCACCACTGGGTGGGGGCACTTCTGATCAAGGTGCCCTAAGGGCTCTCCTCCAAAAGGCCTTCCATCCCTCCCCAAAAGACAATGCCTCTCTGCCAGGCCCTCCTTTGGAAAGACCCCAATCTTTCCAGAGTCCAACAGAATCTAGACTTTGAGACTTGGGCTTTCCAGGCTTCTTCTGGGTGGCTTTGTGACAGCCTGTTCCCAAAAAGGCTATGTGACATGGGTTTCCCTTCTAAATTAATCTGAATGAATTGTCTTTTGAAAACTTTTTGAAAGTTTTACACCCCTGTGGGACAAATAAGAATGCTCTAGGGGGCTTCCCTGGTGGCACAGTGGTTGAGAGTCCGCCTGCCGATGCAGCAGACACGGGTTCGTGCCCCGGTCCGGGAAGATCCCGGAGCAGCTGGACCCGTGAGCCATGGCCGCTGAACCTGCGCGTCCAGAGCCTGTGCTCCGCAACGGGAGAGGCCACAGCAGTGAGAGGCCCGCGTACAGGAAAAAAAAAAAAAAAAAAATGCTCTAGGGAGTCAAAAGATTAGAGATAGTGATGAACTCCTGGCCAGGGCACTGGCCTATCCTTAGTCCTAGGCGGCCAGCCCCCAGCTTCCCCAGCCCAGCTAAGTGTCTGAACATGGGAAAGGCCCCAAGTGAGGCCCAGCAAGTCCACACGCCCTCACCAGCTGCCAGTCCCTTCTCAAGTCCCCTACCCCTACCACTGCTCCCAAACACGGTACCGTGGCCAAGCTGAAGAGGGTAAAGAAGGCCAGAGCCAGGTTCCCCCAGTTATTCAGGTCAGCACTCTCTGGAACTCCAAATAGGCAGAAGCCCAGGACAGCGAAGACGTACATCAGGACGAAGAGCAGGACGAGCACGGAGGCCACGGTGCAGGCTGTCTGCCCCACGGCAGTGATGAGTGTCTGCAAGGCACAGGCACTGGGGCTAGGCCAGACTGCAAGGCTGGGTTGGACTCAGAGGTCAGGGGTCCAGCCTGTCCCAACACCAGCTGCCCCAGAATCCAGTGCCTTGCCTGGCACATGGCAGATGCTCCATAAATGGTTGGATGAATGAATGAGTGAATGAATGGGAACTGTGCCCAGACTGAGGGCTGGACCAACCTAAGAGTGGTTCATCAATGCCTGGCCTCCACGCTCAGTTGCCCATGGGTGGATCGCCCATGGTGTCCCAGGTCTCGTGCAGTCTCCCCATCAGCACCAGTAAGCACTCCACTTGAACCCCAGCCTGCCTCTGTGGTCATCCTAAGGTGCCCTGCTCCTGCCCCTCAGCTGGGCGCCAGCCCTGAATGCTCTTCCAAGCCGAGGAGGAGTATGGGAACTACCCTGGGAGTGGGAATGCAGAAGGCTGAGAGGAAGAGGACTTCTCAATTCTTCTGGGCCCCATTTCACAGGCAGGTCTCCACCTTGTGACCTCAGTCTTCCCCCATGAGATGGGTGTTTGTCTTATCTCCCATGCCTCATCGCTCCTCCTCCATGCCCTGGACTCTTGCATATACATGTTCAGCTACCTTGATACTGTCACAGATACCATGTCAAGGTAGGAAGATGTTCCCATTTCAAGATGCAGGATCAGAGGCTCAAAGAAGCAAAATGCCTTGGTCACAGTCACACTCTGCTAGAACGGCAGAGCAGGAACACATTCTCCAGCCCCTTGCCTTGTGCCACCACAGTCAACCACAAAAGCCCCTCTTTCTAAGCCAAGATACTATTTATTGACTTAGCAGTAGGAAAGGAGGTACTGGTGGAGCTGGGACACAGGACAGTGAAGTTTTGACAGTCTGGGGTAAAGTGCAAAACAGAGAGACAACCCAGGAGCACTGGGGCTGCCCTGTATGTGGACCACTTTGGCAGCTGCCTGCAAGGGTGAATGCACACCCGATGCCCCCCTCCCCTCCTTGGGGGAAGAAAAATCAGTGTTTAGGGATTAATTCCAAAAGAACTGAGCTGTAAAAAATTGCCTCCAATCCTGCAAGAGAGACAGAACTTCTTTCCCAAGACTGCTAAGACTGAAGAGGTAAGAACTCATGAAAAGGCTGCAATGGGACACAGCCTGCAGGTGACATCTTCAGGGTGTGGAGGGTCAGGGCCACGTGGAAGAACCTGAGGTACCTTGGAAGGATGAGGGAGAGGCCCCGGTTGGGTCTCCCACTTCCAGGCTAGTGCACAGGCCCAGTGCCACCCGAGGTGAAAGCCAAGCAGCCTCGAGAACAGCCGTGCAGAAAAAGTCACGCTCTCCGGAAGCCTGTGTGGGGCTGACTCCTGACTGCTGGTCTTGGCCACATTCTTCAAGCACTATCCAGACAGGCCCCATTATTCTGCACTCTAGAAGGTTCAGAAATCTAGTCCCAGGAATGAGCCTCCAAGGTGGGAGAGCTGAGTCCAGGATGTTGGACCACCAGAGAACTCCCAGCCCCGTGGAATATTAATCAGTGAGAGCTCTCCCAGAGGTCTCCACCCCAACACTAAGACCCGACTCCACCCAAGGGCAAGCAAGCTCCAATGCTGGACGCCTCATGCCAAACAACCGGCAAGACAGGAACACAACCCCACCCACCAGCAGTCAGGCTGCCTAAAGTCATACTGAGCTCACAGACACCCCAAAACACACCACCAGATGCAGCACTGCCCATCGGAGGGGCAAGATACAGCCCCACCCACCAGAACACAAGCACCAGTCACCCCCACCAGGAAGCCTACTCAAGCCACTGGACCAACCTCACCCACTGGGAGCAGACAACAGAAGTAAGAGGAGCTACGATCCTGCAGCCTGCATAAAGGAGACCCCAAACACAGTAAGTTAAACAAAATGAGAAGACATAAAAATATGCAGCAGATGAGGAGCAAGGTAAAAACCCACAAGACCAAACAAATGAAGAGGAGACAGGCAGTCTACCTGAAAAAGAACTCAGAGTAATGATAGTAAAGATGATCCAAATTCTTGGAAATAGAATGGAGAAAACACAAGAAACGTTTAACAAGGAGCTAGAAGAACTAAAGAGCAAACAAACAGTGATGAACAACACAGTAATTGAAATGAAAAATACTCTAGAAGGGATCAATAGCAGAATAACTGAGACAGAAGAACGGATGAGTGAGCTGGAAGATAAAATGGTGGAAATAACTGCCACGGGGCAGAATAAAGAAAAAAGAATGAAAAGAATTGAGGACAGTCTCAGAGACCTCTGGGACAACATTAAATGCACCAACATTCGAAGTATAGGGGTCCAAGAAGAAGAAGAGAAAAAGAAAGGGTCTGAGAAAAAGAAAGGGTCTAAGGAAATACTTGAAGAGATTACAGTCGAAAACTTCCACAACATGGGAAAGGAAAAAGTCAATCAAATCCAGGAAGCGCAGAGAGTCCCTTACAGGATAAACCCAAGGAGAAACACACCGAGACACATATTAATCAAACTGTCAAAAATTAAATACAAAGAAAAAATATTAAAAGCAGCAAGGGAAAAGCAACAGATAACTTACAAGGGAATCCCCATGAGGTTAACAGCTGATCTTTCAGCAGAAACTCTGCAAGCCAGAAGGGACTGGCAGGACATATTTAAAATGATGAAAGGGAAGAAACTACAACCAAGATTACTCTACCCAGCAAGGATCTCATTCAGATTTGAAGGAGAAATTAAAACATTTACAGACAAGCAAAAGTTAAGAAAAATAAGCACCACCAAACCAGCTTTACAACAAATGCTAAAGGAACTTCCCTAGGCAGGAAACACAAGAGAAGGAAAAGACGTACAATAACAAACCCAAAACAACTAAGAAAATGCTAATAGGAACATACATAGCGATAACTACCTTAAATGTAAATGGATTAAATGCCCCCACCAAAAGACATACACTGGCTGAATGGATACAAAAACAAGACCCGTTTATACGCTGTCTACAAAAGACCCACTTCAGACCAAGGGACACATACAGACTGAAAGTGAGGGAATGGAAAAAGATATTCCATGCAAATGGAAATCAAAAGAAAGCTAGAGTAGCAATACTCATATCAGACAAAAGAGACTTCAAAATAAACATTATTACAAGAGACAAGGAAGGATGCTACATAATGATCAAGGGATCAAACCAAGAAGAAGATATAACAATTAAAAATCTTTATGCACCCAACATAGGAGCACCTCAATACATAAGGCAAATGCTAACAGCCATAAAAGTGGAAATCAATAGTAACACAATAATAGCAGGGGACTTTAACACCTCACTTATACCAACAAACAGAACATCTAAACAGAAAATAAATAAGGAAACACAAGCTTTAAATGATACATTAGATCAGATGGACTTAATTGATATTTATAGGACATTCCATCCAGAAACAACAGAATACACTTTCTTCTCAAGTGCACATGGAACGTTCTCCAGGATAGATCACATCTTGGGTCACAAATCAAGCCTTGGTAAATTTAAGAAAATTGAAATCGTACCAAGCATCTTTTCCGACCACATCGCTATGAGACTAGATATCAGTTACAGGGGAAAAAAACTGTAAAAAATACAAACACATGGAGGTTAAACAGCATGCTACTAGATAACCAAGAGATCACTGAAGAAATCAAACAGGAAATCAAAAACTACCTAGAAACAAATGACAATGAAAACACAACAACACAAAACTTATGGGATGCAGCTAAAGCAGTTCTAAGAGGGAAGTTGACAGCAATACAATCCTACTTCAAGAAACAAGAGGGACTTCCCTGGTGGCACAGTGGTTAAGAATCCACCTGCCGATGCAGGGGACACGAGTTTGATATCTGGTCTGGAAAGATCCCACATGCCACGGAGCAACTAAGCCCCTGTGCCATGCAAGCCACAGCTACTAATCCCATGTACCTAGATAGAGCCCATGCTCCACAACAAGAGAAGCCACTGCCATGAGAAACCCGTGCACTGCAATGAAGAGTGGCCCTTGCTCGCTGCATCTACAGAAAGCCCACGGGCAGCCACGAAGACCCAACACAGCCAAAAAAACAAAAAGGAAAGAAAAAGAAACAAGAAAAATCTCAAATAAACAACATAACCTTACACCTAAAGCAGTTAGAGAAAGAACAAAAAAAAACACCCAAAGCTAGCAGAAGGAAAGAAATCATAAATCAGATCAGAAATAAATCAAAAAGAAATGAAGGAAACAATAGCAAAGATTAATAAAACTAAAAGCTGGTTCTTTGGAAGATAAACAAAATGGATAAACCATTAGCCAGACTCATCAGGAAAAGAAGAGAGAAGACTCAAATCAAAAGAATTAGAAATTAAAAAGAAGTAACAACTGACACTGCAGAAATACAAAGGATTGTGAGAGACTACTATAAGCAACTATATGCCAGTAAAATGGACAACCTGGAAGAAATGGACAAATTCTTAGAAAAGTACAACCTTCCAAGACTGAATCAGGAAGAAATAGAAAATATGAACAGACCAATCATGAGCACTGAAATTGAAACTGTGATTAAAAATCCTCCAACAGGGTTTCCCTGGTGGCGCAGTGGTTGAGAGTCCGCCTGCCGATGCAGGGGACACGGGTTCGTGCCCCGGTCAGGGAAGATCCCACATGCCACGGAGCGGCTGGGCCTGTGAGCCATGGCCGCTGAACCTGCGCCTCCGGAGCCTGTGTTCCGCAACGGGAGAGGCCACAACAGTGAGAGGCCCGCATACCGTGGGAAAAAAAAAAAAATCCTCCAACAAACAAAATCCCAGGGCCAGATGGCTTCACAGGTGAATTCTATCAAGCATTTAGAGATGAGCTAACACATATCCTTCTAAAACTCTTCCAAAATACTCCCAAAACTCATTCTATGAGGCCACCATCACCCTGATACCCAAACCAGACAGAGACACTACAAAAAAAAGAAAATTAAAGACCAATATCACTGATGAATATAGATGTAAAA